CACTCCCACCCTAGTGGCTAACTTTCAATCATCTGATGTAATGACAGTGTCACATGACTGATAGGCAGGCAGTCCCACCCACCTGTCAAAGTTGACCTGGGAGTCAGGGGCTGCACATTCCTCTCAGGGAGCACACTGACAAAGCAGTACCCAGCTGTACAAACCCATTGTAAAAGGCAATCCAAACTCCATAAAGTCCGATCTTAAAAGTTTATAATATGCATTTACTGTATTTATTCTTTAAGTTTTTAATGTAAAATACCATGGTATTTTACCACAGTAACTGCATTGTTTGTTTGTTTGTTTGTTTAACAAGCTGCACCAAACAAGGTCACAAAACATAAAACCAAAACAAACTATTAAAAAGTACAAGCTTGAAGTTCATTGCACAATACAATGATTCTAGCATTACTACGGCTACTACTACGGCTACTACTCCTAGCAGTTGTACTGTTAATAGCATGTTCTTGTTGCAACTGAATTTCAGAATTTCATGCGGCAATCTCCCTAATTCTTAGACTCCATGAGCCTTAACAGTAGTAGATTCTTGCAGGATCTGTTTCTCTAAGTAGAGATCTTCATACATATTTCGAGATAGGATATTTTCATGACTTCTATTTATGGATGGTTATATAAGGGGTGGAGATGCAGAGTGTTGTTCACTTTGATGATAAAACTGTTTTTCCTTGATAGGCAGATAAAAGCCCAACTAAATATAGCAATCATCTGGTTATGGAATCATACCCCAAAGGAGGCAAAACCTTTTGAAAAGAATCAGGCAAAAGTGGCAGGCAGAAATTCTGCAACAACTATTTGGTGCTCTTATGCACACAATATATGTGTAAAAAAAGACATACCCTCTCATTAGGAGGATGATAATAAAGATGATGACATACTACCTAGCATTTGTAAAGTGCTTTTGAGTGTTCCAAGCACTGCACGTTTATTATTATTACAGCAGCCCTGTGAAGTAAGCCTTTATTATTGTCCCCCATACTGCAGAAGGGGTGACTGAGGCTGAAAGAGAGAGTAACGTAGATAAGGCCATCTAGTGAATTCATAGTTGAGGCAAGATTAAAAAAAATTCTGCTCTGTATCTCAGCCTCTTAAACGCTATGCTACACCAGCTCTTGAAACGCACATCCACCACCACTCTACAATTCAGGTATGCTCTTCACATTCTGCGTGCTTAAATACAGCAGAGAGAAAAATGTGCAGGTTTTCAGGACAGTGCTTTGAGTCAAGAGAAAGTAATGTGTGAAGGAGCTCTCGGTAACACTTGCCTATCTTTTGCAAACAAGAGAGTGACACTCAGGAGTCCATAAATAGAACAAATATGTTTGCTTCTGGCCATATGCAGTGCTCTGTGTTTTTTCATGAAGCCTTTATTTCTTCATGCTGCAAACTCCTGTTTAACGGAGGAAGCACTCACAAGACACCTCCTGGGCCATACCTGACTCTATAGAACTGAAGAAGGTAAGGCTAGCTACAGTTTAAATGTCACAGTTCAAATCTAAGCAGCTAGGCTTTTAAAAATAAGCCAGAGACACACACATGTTTCTGAGTCACAAAAGCCATTTTATAATTTGTCCAGAAGAGGGCATTGTTACTTTATTGCTTTAAAATGCTGGTTTTAAATAGAAAATGTTGGTCTGGTAAAGAATCAGCTTACAGCCGAAGGGAAAGGCCAAAGCCAATTACCGTATTTGAATGTCACATTTGTTGTCTCTGCACAATCCCACTTCATAAACAGCCAACCATTTTTTACAGTGCAATATATAAAAGATTCAATAATACACAGCACACTGTAAAGGTAATGGGTTGTTTCCTTGAGCGTGTGTACACACTAAGAAATATGCCTTCAGAATTCATAATTCAGAAATGCCTGGCAACCAAATTACCAGTTTTAAGTGAAAATGGGCCCAAAACTTTGCTTATTCATAGTGCCCTTTCTGACTGTTAACATTTAATGGCGTGGGCTGTGGAATCCGCTGCATGCAGCTGCAATTTCTACCCACACTGCTTGCTGGTATCAGAAAATCTTACTTGCTTGTGAGACCATGCTCTATACAGCTTTTTCCCAGTACTGTACAGTTCTCAGGAGGGGCAATGCTATGGTGAAGGACTCTCTCTCATTCAATCCACTCTTACATTGCAACCCAAGGCGACTGAGGCCATTAATGAACACTTGACTGCAAATAAGCTGTAAATCCAGACAAAACAGAGATGGTGAGTAGACCGAGTAGTCTGGGAACAGCCAAGTCTTGGGTGGTTCTGTACAGTGGTACCTTGGGTTAAGTACTTAATTCGTTCCGGAGGTAAGTTCTTAACCTGAAACTGTTCTTAACCTGAAGCACCACTTTAGCTAATGGGGCCTCCTGCTGCTGCCGCACCGCCAGAGCACAATTTCTGTTCTCATCCTGAAGCAAAGTTCTTAACCTGAAGCACGATTTCTGGGTTAGCGGAGTCTGTAACCTGAAGCGTATGTAACCTGAGGTACCACTGTACTCCCCTTGAAGACTCAGTTCCACAGCCTTGCTATTATTTCCCCTAAGAGGTGATAGAAGATAAATGTTTTAAATAAAAATAAAATAAAATAAATACTGTGGGGTGGAAGCAGGGAGAGACTATTTTTCCATGCTGTTTACATGACATATGTCCATGGTTCTAAAATTAGAAGCGGGAGCTCTCTAAGGCAAAAACAGGTTCGTTGGGGTGTGAATTCTTCTCTTCTCCAAACTATTTTTGTGAGTAGTAAAATAGACTGGTTGGGTCCAGAGTGTGATTAATGCTTCGCTGTGTTGAGGGGTTGGACCCAGCTGCATTGAAAGAGGCAGTGGTGTGGCCGCTGCTAAAGAAACCAGCTCTGAACCCTTTGGGTTGGACAGTGGCGTAGCGTGGGTTGTCAGCACCCGGGGCAAGGCAAGTAATTTGCGCCCCCTAACCCGTGGAGCCAGGTAGGGGCAGAGAGCTGCGAGTGCAAGCGCGCGCCCCCAGATGTTGCGCCCGGTGCGGCCGGCCCCCCCTGCACCCCTCACGCTACGCCACTGGGGTTGGAACGTATATTGGCCAGTTGCCAATACCCGCTTTTGGGGGAAGGTGGTGGAGAGAGCTATGGTGGGGCAGCTGCAGGAATTCTTGGAGGACACAGATTATTGATCCTGCCCAATCTGGGTTCAGACCTGGCCACGGAACTGAGTTGCCCTTGGCTGTGCCACAGAGAACAGGACATGGAGAATGCAATCTTGCTCCTGCTTCTTGATATCTCATTGGCATTTGATACCATTGACCACGGTATCTCTCAGGACTGGCTCTGGAAAATGGGAATTAGGGGTGCTGTATTATAATGTTCCAATCCTACCTTTGGGACCAAGTTTAGAGAGTAGCATTAAGAGAGTGATCCCTAGTGCCTACTTAATATCTGCAGGCAACTCATAATAGATATTTCCATAATGGTTAATTTCTGATTTTAACTTTTTAATATGCTTTTATGTTATGGCTTTATGTAAAATTGTGGTAAACCACTCTGGTGTTTTTTTAATGAATTGTGATATATAAATATTTTAATAAATAATAAATAAAATATTTTATAAATAATAAATAAAATATTGCTGTCTGATAGGTCATTACTCGTACCCCTATTGTTTACCTTATTTGTTCTGTTAAAATCGTTGGCGTGCACTGTGTAATGTGAAATTTTCAATAAGATTACATTAAAAAAGAAGAGCTAGCTTCTTTTGAGATGAAAATAAGCACTTCAAGCTGAGACACAGTAATTTTTGAAAACCCCAAAATATGTCAAAGAGAGCCAAGGCCAATATAAGGCTGCTTCCAAACTTGACGGACTGCCTTGTCTAGTATATCTCTGCCTGGCAAGCGCACCTCTCCAAAGAGCAGGGCTATGCGTATCACATGTCCCAGGGGTGCATTAACTATGCTCTAGAGACCAGGCTTGTGGTGTTGCATCATCCAGTTCTCTGGAATCAGTTACCAACTGAAATCAGGCAAGTGTCTAATGTTTGGACAGTTGGGCACCTATTGAAGGTTTTTTTTTTTAAGGAGGCTTCCTCTGAAATGTGACCCTGTCATTTTAAATGAATAATAACTGTGTAATTGTAGAAATGGGCCAATTGCTTTTATTCTATGGAGTTGTAACCATTTGCATTTTAACTTACATTTTAATATTTACAGTGGTACCTCGGGTTAAGAACTTATTTCGTTCTGGAGGTCCGTTCTTAACCTGAAACGGTTCTTAACCTGAGGTACCACTTTAGCTAATGGGGCCTCCCGTTGCCGCCGTGCGATTTCTGTTCTCATCCTGAAGCAAAGTTCTTAACCAGAGATACTATTTCTGCGTTAGCGGAGTCTGTAACCTGAAGCGCCTGTAACCTGAAGCGCCTGTAACCTGAGGTACCACTGTATTGTACACTGATTCAGTAACGTTTTCCTGTGAAGAAGTTGATAAATCTGCAAACAAACAAATAAGGGGGGGGGACTTAAGGTCAAATAGAGAAGGCCCCCAAAGTGCACATTTGGTCTATCGGTCAACAGTCCCCCATCCTTTGAGCTGGAGGTGTCAGATCTATGGAACTTCTCCAGCTACCAGTGAAAAGCCCTCACTTCTCTTGGTTTCCTTATTGATGCTCCTGCTTTTTCTCTCCTTGCAGCTGTGCAGTAGGAGTAGGAAACAGAGCAGCAACTGTTACAACAATTGCTAAGTTTGGTGAAAGTCGTAAATAAAGAAACCACTATAATTGCCAAACTTTTCATGGTGTGTGTGACAGATAGAATAACCATCACAAAGCAGACTCCTTGGCTGAGTTGCTCAGGCTTGCTCCTGAGGTAAAATCTGACTCTTAACATCTTTCAGAGAAGTGTGCCACAACCACATATCAGAGGGGAAATATTATCATCACATATTTCCCCATCAGTGAATGTACATCAGTGACTGCAATGTATGTTAAACTGCCTTTTTATTAGTCATTTTTCTTTTGTCCTGCAGGTGGCGCCCATGCATCATTTTTATGAGGTGGCATGTAGGCTAGCAATCAACCCTATAAACAGAAACTGTTCCTAGGAATGATAACAAGGGGGAATCACAGAAACAGTCTAAAAGTGAGCATGCCTACAGATTTGACAACAGCCCTAACATTTGAAAACTTTAAATTCACCTTAGTGCAAGGTTTTTGAGATGAGCTTGACCTTGAATCTCATTCTTTCTATAAAAAACCCTTTAAAAACACATTTTAATTTGTGAAGACAAAGCTATTCTCCTCTTTCACTGTTTCTTTGTTATTTCTGCAAAAACTGCAAAAGTCAGAGCTTCCAGAAGACCATATATTTTACTCTCCGTGCAACCAGCACATGTCCTTCTCTGGTTTCCAGTTTCCTAAAGTGTTATTCAGAATCCAGCGCAAGGAAACTTCTCCATTTCCGACAGCCTTTTAAATCCATGAAGTTTTATGAAATCAGTATTAGCTTTCTTTGGATATGGGCTTCTGATGGCACCTTGTCTTTTATCTAGATCATTTTATGGTCCATTAATTGAATAGATAATGTTTCTCTGCAAGGGCTGAAGGGTCATTTAACATTTTCAACAGGATTGCATGTCAGACGTACACCTTACTGAGTTCAAGGGGGCTTACTCCAAGGTAAGTGGGTATAAGATTGCAGTCTTAATGCATATATGCACCCTTGGAGGGCTGGATCCACTCTTCCTGTGAAACAGTTCTGAGCCATTGATTTCAATGGAGAGGCAAACATGTGCTAAATCTCTCTCACCAAAATTAGCAGGACTTAAAACTGCTGAACTGTGGCTGGATCACCTCTTCTATTATTATCTGCATTTAATTTAAAAATTAAAAATGCACAATTTATAGAAAATGGGGTGGTGGCGGAAATAATTTGATAAATACTCCCCCCCCCCATTCCTCATTTGAAGAGCCTAGATACACACTGATAGCATTGTTGTGGCTCTATGTATGTGCTTGTAAAAGTCCCATTAGTGAGGAGAAGTGCCTCCATATGTAGCAGGTCTGATACCAATAGTTGCCCTGTCAAGGTGCAAAATCCAAATCCGGATAGGTTATTTACAGTGGTGAACAGTGGGGTGGGGTGGGGTGGTGGCAATTACCTGACCTCTGAACAGCTGAGTCGCTGTTGTTTATGGGGAGAATGGGAGGGGCAAGGTAGCAGGGTGCGAGGCAAAGGCAGCAGTCCATGCAGTCCAACTCTCCTGCCGGTGCATTTGCACTGTGCTGACCTCCTCACCACATTTCTCCTACACTTTTCTTTTGTTAAATAAATTTGTATTGTTTTCCACAAATTAACTCCACATTAACACTACCCCCCCAATCCCCATGTGTAGCAATATCTTTTCAAAACCTTTTAATCAAGATTCCAAGAGTCTCCACTCTTCCCTCCATCCCCTCTTCTGGTTCTTTATATAAACAAAATTCTCTTACATTTCCATATCTATTTACCCAGTTCTCTAATAATTACACAAAGTTAATCAAAACTTGATAACACTTCAAATCATTTACCATTATTTAACACAGATATCGTTTAAGCATCTAGAATATCTTTTAACACAACTTTCTGCATTCTGCATCTGTTCTTAACTATTATTTACTCAATTTTCTAATAATTACCTATAATTAATCAAAACTTACTAAAACTACAAATCATTTACCATTATTTAACACATATGTCATTTAAGCATCTAGAATATCATTTAACACAACTACACTTTTCACTTCTAAGTAAGCAGCTACTACTCAGCTCAGCATCAACACCACACCAACAGACACCAAGCTGTCCACTACTGGCTGCTTAGGCAGCTAAGGAAGGAAAATTAAGAAGTACTCTTTTCTGTCCTTAGAAGTGAAGCTAGAGGCAACACACAGACTGTTGTCATTGGTGCCTAGAGCAGCCCAAAGGAGACCACAGCCATTCATTCATTGTCCAGAGGAGCCTAGAGGATATGGAGAGCTGATGTCTGGAAAGTGATGGCCTTCAGGTAGTTGCTAAAAGGAAAGCAACACTTTTGGGCGATCCTTTGAGAGTTGTTTTTAATACTCTCAATACAGTATTGAATATGTGGTTTTAGTGTTGCTTTTCATCGCAAATCACTTTGAGTATTATTTGAACAGAAAAATACAGTATAAATGTTAACTCTAGTTTAATCTAATAATAAATTATCTAACATTCATTTGCTGCCTGATCACAACACCCGAAAATCCAGCTACCTCACTCTACCTAATGCTTAGGGCTGACCCTGAGGAAGCATGCTGCAGAAATGTAGCAGAACCAGTCATTCTGATTCTGTCCAATGTGAAGTTATTTGGTATCTGAAAGGGGCTTTTGTCATTCGTATAATTAGGATTGCAGATTACCACACAAATTTGCAGTTCTAGCAGATGAGAGCACATTTCCTCATCCTCTTCCTCATCAGGAAGAAAGATTACTTTGTGGTGATGGGCATGTAAGGCCTCCTAATAATAAAGCACAAAATATTTGAGTAGGATTATTTCTCCTGGCATGCTATGGCAAGATTATTTTCCATGGGTGTTTGTTGTATCTATGTATCTATGCTGTTGTTTTTTAAAGTGCTTAAAATTGTCATGTTCATTTGGCAATATGCTGGAACTGCAATACACTGGATTCCAAACCAGATTGCCCTCTCAATCGAGTTTGAGACCCTTTGCAAATTATACTGGCACAGCACGCAAGACTCTGAGAAAAGTCCTGAAAAGACCTACTTCGGTTCCCAGTACGTTTCCAAGCAGAATACAAGGTGGTGCAGACCTTTAAAGCCCTAAATGGCCTCAGCCCAGTATACCTGAAGGAGCGTCTTCACCCTCATTGTTCAGCCCAGACACTGAGATCCAGCTCCAAGGACCTTCTGGCAGTTCCCTCACTGTGAGGTTACAGGAAACCAGGCAGAGGGCCTTCTCGGTAGTGGCACCCACCCTGTAGAACACCCTCCCATCAGATGTCAAGGAGGTAAGTAACTATTCAATCTTTAGAAGACATCTGAAGGCAGCCCTGTATAGGGAAGTTTTTAATGTTTAATGTTTTACTATGTTTTTGTATATGCTGAAAGCCATCCAGAGTGGCTGGGGCAACACAGTCAGATGAGCAGGGTATTATTATTATTATTATTATTATTATTATTATAGACTGCAACCTTCCCTCTAATTTACTAATCATTAATGACTACAGCCACATTCTTTTTTGTTTGATCAACTGGGGCAGCAGATGCTTAACGGAGTGTCCAATCTAAAAGGGGTATCTGTCTATCTGTCTGTCTGTCTGTCTGTCCCTATCTCCTCCATCTTTTGGGGTCCCTGGACATAAGAATAAATATATATCAAGGTCTGCTATCCAGCTGCTATTTGGAAACTGCTGAGCCTAAGATGATCTCCTCGTTGCCATCACCGCTTATTAGAGGGGGTTTTTCTTCTGGTGACAGAGGACAGAACCACGAGACCGGTGTAAAACACTCAAACAAAGGTTTTATTACAGCTATACAAAACAACAAACACAAAGCATGTGGGAGTTCTCTCTCTGCAGGCAAATTCAGACTGCAACTCCTCCTCCTTTTGTACTCATCACCAGCTGTACCTAATCAGCCTAGAAAACCACTCACAGTAACAGTTCTTAAAGTTAAAATCATCTTTTCTGTTTCTTTGCAGAATGACTCCTAACACCGCTCCCTCATCCAATTGCATTCTTCCAAGGGAACACTCCAGGCCTGATCCACAGCACATACTGCCTAGAACAGGAATGGAGAACCCATGGGCCCCCCAGGTGGTGCTGGACTCTAATTCCCAACAGCCCCAGCTAGGATGGAGTCTAACTCGAGTCTATCATCATCTGGAAGGCTCCACATCCTTGCTTTAGATCATTTTCATTGTTGCAAGCTTGCATCTTGCAGCTGAAGATCTAATTCCCCCATGGGTTTGTGCCAGAAATTCTAGCTGTTCTTTTCATTTCGATATAAATTGGTAAATAAATATGCTGTCCTTTGGGTTTCCTCCAAAAGCAGAAGAGCTCCCTCGTTTTCTTAGGAGGAGATAAAGACCTTCAAAGATTTCTGTGTGGGAAAGGAAGGGGAGAGTGCTGTGTAAGAGAACAGAAGGATTTAATGATTGGAGGGGTTGGGAACAGGGGGAGAGTGTCTATAACACTTTGGGAACTGGAGAAAGGTAATCCCCAGGCTGGGAAAGGTAGAGAAGATGCAGGGGAGGAAGGTGCAGATTCCCCAAAAGGGAGAGAGAAGGAGGGGTCGCTAAAGAAAAAAACAAGGAGTCAAATAAATGCATAAATTAAGATTTGGCCACAACTTGCTAGGGAAAAATTACTTGGAGGTGGAAGCAAGTAATTTTGAATGCAATTTTGATATAGTTATACACGTGAATTCATCACATACAACTTTCGAAGCTCCTGTAAACCAGGTCAGACTTTCCCCCCAATTAGCTCACTCTTGTTTATTCTGCTACTTGATGCTTTTCATTGGAGGTGCAAAGAACGAAACCTAGCAGTCTGTATGCAAAGCATTGAGCTGTGGTTCCTGGTGCCCTGTTCATATAATTGGCTGCCCATGACCCTCCAAAGCGCAATTCACCTTCTAATACATTTTGTGTCATTTTGATCACACACACACGGGTTTTGATATTTTTCTTAGGCCTGACAACCACCTCCACACAGCATCCATCACGGCACTGTTGGAAAACATAAGCGCTCTCTTTCATTGTGAACGGAATTGTTTTGAAGGGGGTGTGCATTGTTTTTTGCAGAAAGGGTAGGATAAAAACCAAATAAATAGTACTAGAAGAACTGGTAGGTAGATTTGGGGGGGGGAGGGGATGGCCTATAAGGAGTACATAATTTAAAGGGAGTAAAATATATGGGAAAGGAAGACAGAAGTACAATCCTCAAGGAAGACTCTCAATACAGCTTGCTTAGCACTGACAATGAAGGGAAAAAAGTATTTGATCCCCTGCTAAACCTTCTGGGTTTCTGGGGGTTTTCCTGCGGTTATTCTGTCTCTCACAGCCAGAATAAACCTACCATTAAAATTATGGACTGGTCATTTCTTCGTCAGGGGGCAAACAGGCAAATTTAGCAGGGGATCAAATACTCCCCCCCCCTCACTGTAGCTATCAAAGATTTTAACAGTATTTTGTAGGAATCAAAACTGCAAAAATGGGGGGGGGGGTTCTATACATACACTGTATATACATTGTAATGAAATGATTATGGGCTTCTTTATATTCCTCTATTTACCTAACAAAAGGTCTGATGGAGGCTTTTTAGACCTCCTTTGCATAGATCCATCAAATGATGACATACCTAGAAGCAGGATGAAATCAGACAATGTCTCAGCAGGTTAAGGTAATATCTACTGTTTTGTCAGAAAGATCTGATAGGTATGTAGCCTTTTGACTAAATAGAAACCTTATGAGTTAAAGCTAATCCCCAATTCATGCAAACCCTTTGGAAGAATTAAAGCTTATGAGGGGGTCTTAAAGCTCCAAAACTGAAATGTAAAAAGAACTTACTCTGTTGAATTCCCAACAAGTTATTTTATATACTCATTTTAACCGCATGAACACCTATTTATTTATTCATAAAAATTGTATATTGCAATTTTACAAAACAAATAGCAAAACAGTCTACAATGTTTTTCACTGAGCACACTGCACTCAAGCATAGGCATGTTTACACAAAATAAGTCCTTTGCACAAGTAAAAATCAAGGAAGGACATTTGTATGTTGCCCAGCTAAATCTTCCAAAACAAAGGAGAAAAGTACCATAAGTGGGGGGGGGGGGGAGGAAATTACACAAACTCTCTAAACAATGAAAATTGTACAAAATGTTATTTAAAAGTAGACAAAACAAGACTGCATGCAAGATGAATAATATACATAAATAACTGGGATGAGATCTCCTTGACTACATCCTGTTTCATGCTTCAGAAAAACAAAATGGCATAGCCTCATTTGATTTTTCAAAACTGTGTTGATCTATGTTCATTTTAAATAGTGTAATACAAGAAAATACCCATTTGAATGCCCAGGGTATCTCCTCATAGTAGGAAAGGATTTGAGGTGTCTGGAGAAATAGTTGTAATTGCTATACCACAGTGGTTAAGACTCATATTTTAATATCTGTTCATTCTTCATGCAGTGTTACCTAGTTATAATTCACTTTTTTATGCCCAGAGAACTCTTTTCACTGGGCACCTTGTAAAATAATGAACAAATGAATGAATGAAGGCTGTAATGGTATGCATGTTTACCCAGCTGAATTCCGTGGGACTTACTTCTGAAAAGACATCCATATGATTACACTGTAAATTACTTTATACCAAATTAAGAGTCATTCTGTTTAGGATTTCAGTCTATATTCTTACCTTGTTTCTACATGCTGTGTATTTTTTGTTCTCTCTGAGCAGAGCTGGGCTTGCACAGAGGAATTATAGGCAGCACACTCTGAGAACCAGATTTATTAATGGAGTTGTAGGTCATAGCAGGGGCTAGGTCTCAGGAGACATTTCTCAAGGAATAAATGAAGATCAGTCATCCAGTTAACAGAATGACTTATATCCCAGTACTAAGCACATTTACACAGAAGTAGTTTTCATTTATCTCAATGAGTGTGCACCCTAAAACAGAAACGAGCTTACCAATACCAGGATATCTGTTCTGTCTATGACTGTTTCCTTTTCTTTGGTTCTTTGCCCCACTATAAGTGTTACCGGTAATACAATCATCTCAGCACGGCTAATTAAATGATCACCCATCTGCTACTGTAAAAGGTGTGCCTATCTAACATACATTTAAGTTCTCGTTATTCATTCTTAAATCATGTTTTCTTTTGTTTTTAGAAGCATCATAAACCATGTCATTCAAGAAGGGAACTAACAAAAAGAAGAGAGAGAGAGAGAGAGAGAGAGAGAGAGAGAGAGAAGGGAAAAGGGCGAAAGAACAATGGGAGAAAATAGGGCAGTAGTACACTTTCCCGGTAGTGATGTATGGAAGTGAGAGCTGGACCATAAAGAAGGCTGATCGCTGAAGAATTGATGCTTTTGAATTATGGCGCTGGAGGAGACTCTTGAGAGTCCCATGGACTGCAAGTAGATCAAACCTATCCATTCTTAAGGAAATCAGCCCTGAGTACTCACTGGAAGGACAGATCCTGAAGCTGAGGCTCCAATACTTTGGCCACCTCATGAGAAGAGAAGACTCCCTGGAATAGACCCTGATGTTGGGAAAGATGGAGGGCACAAGGAGAAGGGGACGACAGAGGACGAGATGGCTGGACAGTGTTCTCGAAGCTACGAAGATGAGTTTGACCAAGCTGCAGGAGGCCATGAAAGACAGGAGTGCCTGGCGTGCTCTGGTCCATGGGGACACGAAGAGTCGGACATGACTAAATGACTAAACAACAACAGTACACTTGAAGTGCATTCCCAGACATATTTCTTCTAGTCCAACCCCCGGCAATGCAGGAATCTCCCAACCTCTACTTAAAAACCTCCAAAGAAGGAGAGTCCACAACCTTCCTGAGGGGAGACTGTTCCACTGTCGAACAGCTCCTACTGTCAGAAAGTTTTTCCTGATGTTTAGTCAGAATCTCCTTTCTTGTACAGTAACTTGAAGCCATCTCTGATCAGTTTGTGTGTCTCCTATTAAAGGTCTAATTATTGGCTATAATTTTTGCGTCTCATTATTCAACTCTCACCTTTTGATTTTCTCCATTACATTATCTGCCATGAAAGCTTATGCTGTAATAAACTGTTTATTTTTAAGGTGCCGCAAACCTCTTGGTTGCTTTATTCCCAGAGAACTAATATTATGTTATAGATCTAATTCCTGTGACTGTGTGTTAGGGATTATTCAAATACTCAAAATGTGCAAACCAGTCTAAATTCACAGATAGGGTTGCTGATTTCCCCCGTCTGATCTGCTTTCTTGCTCAACCCTCTTTTATAGCTCAGGGAACTTTTCATGTAATGTGCAAAAGGTTGCTGCTTAGAATTATTTAAAGTCTGAGAAGCAAGTCATTCATAAAGGGTTTTCTCTGCTGGGCAAGCTGCTGCAACTGTAGCATATTTAATTGTTTTTATAAGTAGAAGCTCTGTCTACACTAGGAAAATGTGTTATAGAAAAATAATCCCCAAGCACTACAGTTGTTTCAGCTGTGCCTTTGGGAGCCCAACTTGAGACCTCAATTAGCTTTGATGTTGTTTATTAAATGTCCTAATGAAAATGGAAGGTTCACCACAAAACCACTTTGGAGAAGAACAAAAGTAGTCACAGTCCTCTAAGGTTCATCTTGATGTTACAAGAATGACCTTGGTTGCAATACTATGCTGTATCTTTAACACCCATTTTGGGGTTTTTCTTTATTTGAAAAGCAAAAGCAAATAAACTATCGACATGTGCAACTACTTAAAGCAATACTGCTCACTTTTCTATGGCTTTAATTTCTGTTCCTTGACCTGGTATGGATTAACCATTATGGTAAGTACACTATAGCATAGAGCGCCAGCAAAAAATTGGTACTGTTGTGATATGAGTTTCTCTATCATGCAAGCAAAATCTCACCTCTGCTCTTCAGCTTATTACATGATAGGGGTAGACAGACTACACCACTGAAATGCTCCTTACTGCAGGGAGAAATCTCACATTTGAAATGTTCATCCTTCCTGATTTTGCATCCCTGTTCCTAAGCCTCTTAGTAGTTCAACAAGCATGTGAGACTTGGATGAAATGTATGCTGTCCCTCACAATTCAGAACACTGATAAAAATGCTACTGCTTTGTGAAAAATTACTATGCTTTGCAATGTCACTAAAAGCCAATAATGGATGTCTTCCAGAAACACTGTGAGTCCTAGACTGTTGTTAGTCACTGACTAAAATTCAAACCACAATATGCTATTTTATTTTACACCATGTTAAGCATTGCTATTATCTCTGCTAACCATGACAAAGAGGTAGCGTGAGAATTCATTAAAGGAATAAATGAGACCTAATGGACATATGAAAATAATGTGCAAGTACTTTAATAGATAGAATAATCAGAAAGCACTACCTACAGTGGATCACTCTCCCTTCACAGCCTATGAATGGTTTTTAATAGCCTTCCTCTGGAATTTAAATAATGTTCGCATAAGCAAGAGAAAGAGAGAGAGTGTGAGAGAGAGATCATTATATTTTATTATTTCCTGTTTCTAACTTGTGCATTTATAGAATCAGTATAGGCTACAATAAAACTTAGTTAATTAGAAGTCTGCGATGGTAAATTAACACCCTCTTGTAGCCAGAAGGAGACTCAAAAATTAGAAGATAATGAGTTTTATCAGCACTCATAATGCCTTCAAAGCAGAGTTGCCTTGAAGTATTGGATCATTTAGGTACTTACTCCCCAAAGAGCTCCCTATAGGACCAAATGGATCAATGGCAAATTGATCTATTTGTTTCCAGTCTGTGACTCAAGCGATAACTACCAGCTGATAAGATACTGCTGCCTCTGATCTGGTTGGTCTGATTTGTAATGTAGTGAATTTGGGTGTTTCTGATAACACCTGTACAAGAAGTCAAGACGTGTCTGAATGGGGGTAAGAGGATCTGAATTGTTGACATGATCTTATAGTGAGGACAAAAACCTAACCATTCCTATCACAACTCATCCTAGCAGAAATCCTAGGATTCCCCCAGAACTGCTTCCTTCCATGCACCCATTCTTGGAACACTTCGGTTAATGGGGTGGGGAACAGAGGTATGAACAGAAGATATGCCATCTTCTGTTCAGTGACCAGGGAATGAATCAATTTTATTAGCTGATTCAATTTTATCAGACCAACAAACTAGCATCATATCAAAAAAGACACCAAAATAGTACAAACATTTTGCAGACAAACAAAACCCAGGACTCAGCTATACAGTTGCAAATAAAATGTGTTGTAAAATACAATATACAAATCTGACACTAGATGGCGAAAGTGAGCTACGCCAAATTCAATGTATTTTTCAAAACTTTTTTTTTAAAGCATTTTCACAGCATTTTTTATACGTGTGTAGATTCCACCCCAGTCTGAACACCAGCCCAGAAAAGGAAGTAGTTTTAACTGTAATTTGCCTGCCAGAACTCAGAAATCAACAAGCACACTATCTGATTAGCACCTGGTTCTAGACCTTGGATCCATCCATCTGATCTACATGACAGGAGGCAACAGCAAGGCCCACACGTGCTTCAGTTCTTGGCCCTGAGCATGTCCCGGTAGAGAAGGGGCTAACATGCTCTCTGCAAGAATCGCCAGTTCCTGGCTGCTCCGTGTTAGTGCAACAGCTCCACAACAAAGATCCATTCCATTGCTACATATGCGAGACTAAAGCAACAACAACAGGTGTCTAAATTTGTGGCCCCCTTTGAGCTTGAAGCCCAGGCCAAATGGCCCTCATGCCCTCCCCCCATTAGCCCTTTGCTCAAACACACACACCTAAATCATGTACATAGCAAAGAAGGTGCAGGATTTATGGTCAGATCCCTCTGATTTCTGCCCCCCCTCCCCAACTCACTATGATGGACGTTGACCTTTCCCCAGAAGAGTTCAAAGGACTGACACATCTTCCAACCTTTCACATTTGGGAAGCTTCAACATCTCCTTTAGACCAGTGATTATTTTGAAAGGTGGACTTGTTTTGTTGAAATGGATAGAGAACCAGGTTAGAGGCTACGACAATAAATAATATATGAATGACAGCTCAAGAGCACAATTAGACCAAGGTTAATAGGCATTAATTCCAGAGGGCAGAGGCTTTCTCCTTAAAAGTAACCACCATATAATAAATGTGCCTTACTCATTGGCTGTAATACCTGCTTGATAACCGTTAATTATATATCAATGAATATAGGAAAAACCAAGAAAAGATCCGCAAATTGGTCTTTGACGTATCAGGCCGCAAATTGTTTGCCATCAATCAATCAGAATCATAGCAGTGGTTATCTTATGTGGGCATACCAAAATCTGAAAATAATGTGTGCACTCAATTGATTTCAATGAGAAAGAGGAGTGCAAGTGTTTAATGCTCCAGCTAAAATCAATGCAACTTAAACAGAATTAACTTTGGATAGATCATGACGTTTTTCCTCATTACCTCTTTTATTTCTTCTGTCAAGTCACATCCACACCATACATCTAAAGCACTATTATACCACTTTAATAATCATGGCTTCCTTCGAAGACTCTTGGGAACCACAATTTGTTAAGGGTGCAGAGAGTTGTTAAGAGACCACCATCTTCCTAGGGAATTCTGGGAACTGTGGTTTTATTTTTTATTTTTTTTTAATTATTATTATTATTATTATTATTATTATTATTATTATTATTATTATTTTAAGGCCAGGTTCCAAAGGTCTGCAAAACTAACTCCTAACTCCAGGTGCTCAAAGGGAGTTTTGAGCCAGTTTTCTGTAATGCAACCGTATGTTGCTAGGCAAATCGAGGGAAGTTTCAATGGCAGTTTGGTATATTGCAAGGGTGAAGGAGCCACTTTCGGCCAGAGGACTAGTTCCAAAAGTGTGTAACCCTCCGCAAGCCATTTGGACAGGTGAGGCAGGGCCATCAACCTGTAAATCACCTGACGTTGCATAATGTCATACATTTCTGGAGCTTCAGCTGTGAAGGAAGATTCATCCTCTGCACCTGAAGATTGAACTTGGGTTTTTTTAAAATTCAAGCCATAGCTACAAAGCCATTACAGCCACAACTCAAACTTTACTGCACTGGATGTCATATGATGCCAGATGTCATAAAGGTGAGCACAGTTTGCCCAAAATGACCTCGTGGGTCAAATCCAAAGGCTCAGCAAGTCTAATTAAGGCCACAGGCTAGAAGTTCCCTTCCAGTGGCATTTATGGCATTGTGACTGACATTGGGATCAAATGCAGAAAGAAGGATCCTTTGAGGTAGACTACAGGAGGGTTTGAGATCTTGGTCAGCTATAATAATAATAATAATAATAATAATAATAATTCTACCATTTCTATACCACCCATCTGGCTGGGTTTCTCCAGCCACTCTGGGCGGCTCTCAACAGAATATTAAAAACACAATAAAACATCAAACATTAAAAACTTCCCAAAACAAGGCCGCCTTCAGATGTCTTTTAAAAGTCAAATGGTTGTTTATGTCCTTGACATCTGGTGCGAGAGCTTTCCACAGGGCTGGTGCAACTACAGTGGTACCTCAGGTTACAAACGCTTCAGGTTACAAACTCCGCTAACCTGGAAGAGTTACCTCAAGTTGAGAACTTTGCCCCAGGATGAGAACGGAAATCATGTGCTGGTGGCGCAGCGGCAGCAAGAGGCCCCATTAGCGAAAGCATGCCTCCAGTTAAGAACAGTTTCAGGTTAGGCACGGATGAATAAAAACTTTTATAAAAAAAAAAAAAGAACGGATCTCCGGAACGAATTAAGTTCGTAACTAGAGGTACCACTGTACCAAGAAGGCCCTCTTTTATTATTTGAGATACACAACTAAGTATATTAGCCCACAAAAAGAATATTTCAAGACGTTGGAAAGTGGCAGATTTAGGTTAAATGTTAAGAGAAAGATGACCAGCTGCCTGCAAGGAATTCTTGGAGATGGGTGG